GAAGAACGACCAGATCAAGAATTTGTCAACCCATCACGCACCCTTTGGTAGCTTAACTTTCTACGACCATATGCGTTTGGGCTAAACGTGGGCTTACACCTGCTTAGCCATGGAGCTGCCTCAGCAGCGAGATAAAAAGCGTATAAATAAAAGGCTTATATTGATGATGTGATTGTTAAAACCAAGAAACATACACCTTGTTACTTGATCTCGAGCGTACCTTTATAGCTCTTAACAAATTCGTTAGAAGTGCGGCTTACAAAGAAGTGTATCTTTGATTGACTTCCGTAAAATGTCAGCCAGCATAGCATCGATCCGATCCGGCATACGCCTAACCTAGAAAGAGGTGAAGTTGTCTTAGATGCCGAAGCCACCTAAAAAAGGTGAAGAGGATGTTGAAGCTCATGAGGTTGCGCCAAACACCCTACAATAATTTTATATCAGATTAGGTGAGAAGAGGTGCCGTTTTTTCCAAGCTACTCAAAGCAATGAGAGAAATTTGAGTGGTCGGAGGAAACTGACCCGCGGTCTTTACACATTTGAACAATGCCTTACATCACCTCCGGTCCACAGCTGCTCCCGTGAGAAGGCCAGAAACCCTCTGCTTTACATTAAAGACAACTTCAACCGAGTGGTCTCCACTACCATGGTGGTCGAACGCAGCAGCAGGCCGGGCCACGTCTACAGGCATTACGACCAATCTATTTCATTAGTGAGGCACTTAATGAATCCAAGACCAGTGCCTTACAGTTTAGAAATTGATCCTCGCCATCTGCGGATTACATCACGAAAGTTGAAACACTACTTCGACGGATATCGTGTGGTGGTCATTGCGACCGAGTACCCTCTCGGGAGACATCATTCGCAACAAGGATGCTGACGATTGCATCATCAAATGGGCAATGGAGCTATGCCCTTTCTCCTTGGAATTTGCAAGTCAGTACTACAATCAAGTGTCGTGCACTTGTTGATTTCATCGTCGAGTGGGATGGACTTACAGCACGCCTCTCGTGGAGGCCTACTAAAGTATTGGAAGATGTGCTTGACTCGCGGCTCTCTCAACATCGACAGGTAGCAGGAGTGTGAGTCCTCTTTGTGTCGCCATCCAAGGAGCAGCTTCCGATATCGTCCTCGAGATTTATTTCCGGTCTAATAACGTTGCGAAAGTCTGTAAGCATGCCCTACATAGTTCACCGCGCATTGCGGTCGAGCTTCGGTGTCAAAGCGCCTCTATGTCTACGGGGACTTCGGCTACGGTCATCAACCAACTCAACAAGGAATTTGGAATCGACCAATGAAAGATGGATGCATCTTGCCAAATCGATCGAGGAAAGCTAGAAGGCAAGTTCTATGGCATCCAGTACACACATGTGGTCCGGGACAAAAATCAAGCAGCGAGATCTTGTTTGTCAAAGTTAGGATCATCCCGAGCCAAAATCCCACATAGCGTATTTGTTCAAGACACACTCCGCCTTTCATCGAAGAGGAAGATCCACAGTCGACAAGCCTCTAGACCAGACTATTGGTGGCTATGATTTTGGCGTCAAACACCTGCCGAACCACCACCGACCACTAAGGAGCCTGATCGAGAGTACCTTTCATCAAGTACACGACGGATGGTGCAGCGGTTACACCGATCGGATAGAAAATGAAGCACTTTGATGCGTCGCGATAAGCGATATCACGCTCGTCGATGGCAAATTGTGGGCACAAGAAGCAAAGGAGGAAATCTTGATGAAGTGTATAACCCGGAGGATGGTGAACATCTCTGGACCAAATCCACTCGGCTCCTGTGGCAACCATTATTGGCCTCGAAACGTTGGTTGGCAAGGCTTCTACGGCGAGGTTCTATTGGCCGTCGGCCGTAAGGCGATGCACAGAGAGCTAGTCCGCCATTGTGAAGGTTGTCGGGTCTTCGCCAAGAATCCACGTACTAGCACATGAGATTCAGACAATACCAGCCTCTTGGCCCTTCGCATGCTGGGGACTGGATATGATCGGGCCTTTCAAACCGGCTCCCAGGAAATTTACATGTGTCTTTGTGCTGATCGACAAATTTTCCAAGTGGATAGAGTACATGCCTCTGGTCCAGGCATCTTCAGAAAAGGCTATCATGTTCATCGACCGGGTCATCCACCGCTTCGGCATACCCAATAGCATCATCACTGATCTGGGTACTCAGTTCACCAGGAATGCTTTTTGAGACTTCTGCGATGAAAGGAACATAGTAGTGAAATACGTCTCGGTGGCGCACCCTAGAGCTAATGGATAGGTCGAGCGGGCAAATGGCATGATCTTAGATGCACTTAAGAAGAGGATGTACAGGGAAAATGACAAAGCTCCCAGAAGATGGCTCAAAGAGTTACCGACCGTGGTGCAGGGTCTCGAGAACCAACCCTAGTCGTAATCTGGCGTATCACCATACTTTATGGTTTATGGCGCTGAGGCAGTGCTCCCAGCTGATATAGCCTTCAGATCAGCACGGGTAGAGAATTTCGACGAAGACAAGGCCAATGAAGTATGGGAGTTAGAAGTGAATAGTGCAAAAGAGAAGCAACTCGATTCCTATATACATACAGCAACATACCTTGCTGTTTTGCGCAGGTACTACAATAAGAACGTTAAGGAGCGATTCTTCGTGGTTGGGGACCTGGTCCGAAGTGGAAAAGCGAATCGAGCTGGTGTCCACAAACTTCGCAACTCCATGGGAAGGGCCCCGTGATCAAGGAGGTTACGACCAACGTCTTCTGAGGTTAGCTCACTAGGATGGCGCAGATATGTACCCAATTCATGGCACATCGACAAGCTTAGGCGTTTCTATGCTTAACTAATAAGATATGTACTCCTCTTGTACTTTCGATTTAATTCAATAAAGCTATTATGATTTTCTCCGACCACTCTAATGTGTCACTTTGAAGTCTATTGTTATTCTAACTCAACCAGATCAAAACCGACCACCATTCCTTCCCGGTTTTGAGAGTGAATACCTGTCTCTAGTTCCTCCCAACGCCGCGTGCATGGGATACGCTCTCTACGCTACGGGTGATCGATAGGTCCCCTCTGGTTTGACTTGTGTGCGTCTACGAGTGCACAGGCTACGCACCTCACACTCCGACCATAGGGCAAACCAGAGCCATTCAAACTTTTCAGGATGACGTGTCGACTTAAAGCTGGTACAACTAAATAGAGCGCTAACATGTTTCTCACTTAGTTACACCAACACGATATTCAAGCTTAAATACATTTTCTACAAAACAAACAAGCTTATGCAGATATATCTGATTACGTTATTACAAGCTTGCCCGAAAGGGTCCAAGTTTACAATAACACAACTTCATCTTCTTCCTTTGACTATAGCCTATACTATTGGCTGGGTTAGGTCCTTGCATGACACCAATTTGCTCGCCGAACTGACATCGTGCTTTGAGTCTCGGGGACTCTTATGCTGGTCGATTTGAAGAAGATGACCCCATCGATACTGGTTGGTCGAGACCATTGAGCTTCACGGCGGTTAAAAAATGATGGCCCCTCCATTGACTTGTTGATGGCGTACCACTGTATGCAGTCTTTGTCCCGCCTCCACCACGGAGTTAATGTCGCCAATTATTTTTGCCAACAAGTCCAGCTGGGTCATCCGAAGCTCCTCAGCCTTGTCTGGATCTACCTCCTTCGGGTATCCAACTTCCAGGTGCTTGAGATCGATCAAGGGGTAGTGAGCACGTACCGTGCTTAGCACATGTGCACCTGTGTACTCACCTGCCTCCTTCACGAACTCCTGGAACCATCCCCATGCCTTTCGGCATCTATCAACCAGTCCAAGCTGTGGCGTCCTTGGCATGTCTTCTGTAAGCGCTGGATCGATGAGGTTGAGGATCGGCAAAATGCCCGTTGCCACTTCCTAGCACCGGTTTTTCCATGTGTCCCGATCCTTGGTGATCTCTTGGCACTGCGCCTTCTAGCCATCACGATCTTTTATCACGGCCTCCATATGGTTCTTGGCATTGACTTTTATAACTGGAAACCGCACAAGCTATTAAAATGTCATACCACGACAAGATAAGGCGGGCAACAAAAGTGAGCAAAGGGGTTTGGAAAACTTTTCAGTTCCTCTTTCATCTTGGTCGTGTGGTCCCGGAGCTGTGACTAGTCGTGCGCCAATTTTCTGTTGTCCTCCTTCAGGCGATCACACTCCACGACCGCACGACTATTCTCCTCTCAGAGACGGATCACTTCAGCTTCTAAGCCTGCACTACAGCTGTTACTACCGACAACGCAACAACAATTGTCATGCACTCGTTGTGAAAAAGTGACTACTTACTTGTTCTTTCCGCTCTTTGTTCTCGAAATGACGGCGTGTTCAGTTGCGGGACTCTTGCTCCGTCCTCTCATGATTGGCAGCTTCAAGTTGGTGGCGCAAGCGTTCCACTTCCGCCTTCAGCTCTTTATTGCTTGCAGTGATCCCCTCGATCTTGTCAAAGCATTTCTTACGGTACCTTGCAGTCTTCATTAAGTCCTGT